AGAGAGGAACTGCTCTAAGTCAAATTGCCTCAAACTATCACTTTATTTTTTTTTTCACTAAAATGTTTTTCTCCCAAGATGTAAACCACGAGCACAGCATCCCGTGTGAATTTGGACTGACATTTTTATGGTCGGATGTTTTTTTTCCTTCATTATTTGGCTGAAGGGACACACCATGTTCATGATTAACTACGGTGTTGGCCGATTAGAGAGGATCTCATTAGTGTAAAACATGTTTAACTTTGTGTTTGTCCGCGAGAGGATTGAGAAAAGTGAATAATGTCTTCGAAACACTATTAAGCCGGTCGTATGTTTTCAACATTGATAATAATCAGAAATGTTTCTTGAGCATCAAATCATAATATCAGAGTGATTTCTGAAGGATCATGAGACACTGAATCCTGGAGCAATGATGCTGAAAATCCAGATTTGATCACATGAATAAAGTACATTTTACAATATATTACAATAGAAAACCGTTCTTTTAAATTCTAATAATATTTCACAATAGTACTGTATGATCAAATTAAAGCAGCCTTGGTGAGCAGAAGAGACAAAAGACAAACACTTACTGAGCTCAAACTTGTAAATGGTAATGTATATTACACACCTTTGCCTGCTTATTAAAGAAACAGTTTTATTTCTGTCATCATTTACTCCTCCTCCAAACACATGAGTTAATAGTCAGAACCCACACATTTTGATTTCTCGTGCATAAAGAGAGGAGCGCTATGTACACCTGTGTCTGTTCGGTGGAAGTGTGTGACTGAGGCTGAGCACTTCCTGTCTACCGAACACATTCTCTCTTTATCTTTCGCTAACTGGTATTTAACGAAAGAATGTTATCATACGTGTAAAAAACAACAGTGTGTTTCATTTATAGTACATGATGCAAAGATGAATGTTGATCAGACGTTTAAGCTTCTGCATGCATGTTTAGCTTAAGTCTGAGACCACCTAAAATACCTTTTCTATTTTAAAACCACAATTATTTATAACAAACACTCTTAAAAATAAAGGTGCCAATTGCCAAATGCAGTTTTTTGGTTCCCCTAAAACCCTTCCAGTGAACAATTCTTAAAATAACCATTTTTTATAGTCTTTTTTATAGTAAAAATGTAAAACATCTTCTCCACTATAAAGGACCTTATTGTAGAATGGAACATGGATGTTAAAGGTTCTTCATGAAAGCATGCGTGCCAATAAAGAACATTTATTTTTAAGAGTATTTTCCCATTTCTGCTTTCAGATATAACAGAATATGATTGTTAGAGCAGTATGTCTGTTCCATTGTGTTCTGTTCCCTTTGCTCGTTTGTTGCCATAGATTCTGACGAGTTACGCACCTGTTTCTGTTCCAGTTTATTAGCTCACTCGCCCTCGCCAAATCGCCCTCTATACCCTTCAATAGGTCATTATTTAATGGGACAGACATTTTTAGTTGCGTCTGAAACCATAGCGGACGTTATCAAGTGCACTCATTCAATCCCACAATGCACCGCAATAAGGAGTGTACAACCGATGTACACACAACGGCTGTCCGGATTCGCTCACACGTTTTCGTTCACTCCTTCAAGTGAACTGTATGGGCTAACGTAGGGGATAGTGAACGAGGGTTAAGGGGGCGATTTCGGATTCAGCCTCTGTGTATTAAAGCCCGTATTCCCTTGGTTCTTGAAGTTGTTGAAGTGGTTGTGCTGTTCTGTTTCCCAAGTGATCTCCTGTGTGTTACGTTTTTGGACTTATTCGTTAAAGACTGTTTTTTTTTGTTGATATCTCCTTCGTCGTCATGAGCTTTAGGCTACCTACCACATGTTACAATGATACACTCTTTTAAAAATAAATGTTCCAAAAGTTTTTTTTGTGTTTTTGTTTTTTTGTTTTTTTTTGTGCAGCAATTCCATAGAAGAACCATTGTTGCTTCCCCAAAGAACCTTCCAGTAAACAGTTCTTAAATTAACCATTTTTTTTCTTAGTGTGAAGAATATTTAAAAAAAGAAGCTTTTGTGCAATGGAAAGGTTCTGTGGAGGTTTGTTCTTCATGAAACCATCAATGCCAATGAAGAAACTTTCATTCTTAAGTGTGTAGATGCTGAAAGACTAAATATGCTAAAAGTCAAGTGTTTGTGATGCTTTGATGTGTGTGTGTGTGTGTGTGTGTGTGTGTGTGTGTGTGTGTGTGTGTGTGTGTGTGTGTGTGTGTGTGTGTGTGTGTGTGTGTGTGTGTGTGTGTGTCGTCTGTTCCCCTACTGAGCTGCTTCACTGTCAGATCGTGGTCTTGTTATTTTCAGCTTCTGCCGGATATGATTCAGACTGAAGGACTGTGTAATTATAACACACACACACACACACACACACACACACACACACACACACACACACACACACACAGATGAGGGTTTCTGGTATGACTGTGGGATCCCCCGGTTGGAGGAGCATTAGGTGCAGCATAACACTGCTTAGTTTCATTACATTTTAGCAGTGTGTGTGTGTGTGTGTGTGTGTGTGTGGACATGGTGGTATATGTTTGTTTCCTCTGCCCTAGAAATTATTTTAGTAAGTAGCCTATTTAAATAGCATCGAGATTATAATTACCGTCCGCGGAACCCCCTTACCTGTAAAACATGTATTAATAAACCTGCACATTCTTTGTGTTTGTACCTTCTTTATAACAAACTGAACTTTCTTAAATATTTAAATATTATTCATACTGTAGCTGACAGCATGATCATAATAAAAGCATGCGGTCCCAAAAAGTGTTTTATATAATGAGCAAAAAGGTCCGCAGTTCCACGCCGGTGTCGAGAAGTGAGCGAGTGCGCCTCAGAGGAAACCAGAAGCCACCGGAGGAGAGACCGGCTGTGTGTCCTGCTTTCTGAGAAACGGGTCATAGTGGTTTCAACAGCGCGTGTGCGGGGCGTGAATGCTGACCGGCTCTGTTTTACCGAGGAAGGAAGGAAGAAAGAAAGACATGCATTGAAAGTACACACAAATGCAGATACTGTACATTTACATCATGCACGGATGTCCTGCTGCCATATATGCACTGCGTGTTATCTTTGGTGGAGATCGTAAAAGGTTTCATTATTGGATAAGGGGATTTTAAGCATGTGACCTGAAGATGAACAGAGATGCCATATTAAACTTGAGTTAAAACAATTTTAGCGAACGCGTAAAAATGTGCAATATCTGAAGAATGCAATGAATGTACTAGCCTAGTCACTCATTTATTTACAAATTGCATGAATGAATTGTCTTGGATATCAACAGATATTTATAAAGAAACCACAAACAGACGTTTCAAGCAAAACATTTCATTACAAGATGTTTTGTTGAGTTTTTTTTATTAGTTTTATTAAAAATTATTAGTGTGACTTGTGTTTATAGTTATGTATATGTTTATAGTTAATGTGAACTACAGTAGTTAGTAGCTCTGCGCCTGTGTGAACTTGAGGGGAACAACATATATATATATATAGCCTATGTGATTTATTACATTTTAATGCTTTTGACGCACGTCTATTTAATGAAAAATACAGTAAAAACAGCAATATTATGAAATGTTATTTCTATTTAAAATAACTGTTTTGTATTATAATATATTTTTACATTTAATTTGATTTATTCCTGTGATGCAAAGCTGAATTTTCAGCAGCATCATTACTCCTTCAGAAATCATTCTAATACGCAGATGTAATGAATAAATATGACAAATTTTGATTGGTGCTCAGTTAGCCTATTAATAATGTTTTTTTTTTTTTTTTTTTTTTTTTTGGACGGGTATATTAATATTATTATTATAATTAAAAAAAAAATTAATCTCTTCTGTTGTTCATTTATATCCACACCAGCACCTGCTATACTGAAATATGCCGTGGTTTAAACGAGTAGTTCCAGGATTGTGAAGAACTCTAGTCTAGAGTGCAGTGTGGATGTGGCCACAGCCTCAGCCAATCAAATCACAGAGAAGGAAACAATGCGAGAATGCAAGCGTGAGACGTCACACGCTATTTTTGGAGAGCTCCGCCCACATTTCTATTTTCGTCCGCCTCGGGGGCGGGGCTTACTGAGAGATACTTGTAATAACTCACTTTCTCCCTCTCGTACCACTGCCGAACATCGCGGCTGCTCTTTTTAATGGATGTCAGACTACTAACTGAGGATTAACACAAGCTTTAACAGGGGAAGCATTTGGACATTAAAACCAGGCTTAAAGACTTCTGCAAAAAAGAAGAAGGAGTTTCAAACAAGGGAATAACGACCTGTTGCATGATTTTATCTTTCACATAAGGTACAGGCTGTCTTTCATATTATAAACGCGTCCTGTTTTGCTTTAAGGAAGTCAGTTTGCTTGGCATTTCCAGTGTGCCTTATGAAAGCTTTGCATTGTGATCTGTCAATCTATTTTGCGTTTTTTTTAGTGTTGTCGTTTAATTAATTATTTTTGTTGTCAAGCATGGCTTTCAAACGACATAATCATTAGGCCGATACAAATGATGTGGATATGTGCATTACGTTGGTGAAATTGATGCATATAAGGAATAAGTTTAGAAACAAAGTGGAAATGAAACCCAAACAGACTAGCAGAGAAACAAATGAAGTCCTCTGTCTGAAATAGCCCGTGAGAAACTGTGTAGTTCTCTATGCTGACTCGAGTCTTGAAATGCATCTTCAACTTAAAAAACTTTCAGTTTGCGTGCAATTTCTTTCAAAATCTTAAGCAACTGACTGTTTAGCGGTTTAAAGGCGGCAGTGATGGTGAAAACTGTCTAGGTAAGCAGGCACTCACTGTTTGAGTCACAGCTTTATTACACAGCCTTGTGTTTTTAAATTAATTCATTTTTAAGTTCTTTTTTTTCAGTCAGTGGTTGCTATAACTAACTCAGTTTTATCGTGTAGATTTTGTCTGATACCATGCTTACCGTGGTAAAGGTTTGCATAGGTGTGCGCAGCAGAGAATGAAACATCTCACAAACATCTCCACTTCTTCTCATTCCACAGATGGAAGTTGTGCGGCGGGACTGATCGTCGAGTCAGATCAACGGGACATTCACTACTGGGGAGTGGCAGGTATGTTGATGTTCCCTTCATTTCAGAGGAGTTTCAACTGTGAGGAACCTTCTCGAGAAGACTGCGACATTCCCGTGTTCGCCTATATGAGCGAATGGATAAGCCATACAAACAGAATCTATTTCCTTCATGGACATTCATGGAGTTATATACGCAGACAGCAACATAGTGTCGGCCCAGATCCGGCCCACATCTGGGCTACGCGTGGAATCCACATGTACCAGATGTGGCCCGGATCTGGGCCGACACTATGTTGCTGTATAGACCAGTGGACCCCAGAAGTATTATAACGTTTGAATGTTATTGTATTAAATAACAAAATGGCAAAGTTAGTGGCACCTGCAAGGAAATGCTGCAAGTTTTCTCAGAAGAAACTTTGTGTGTGTGTGTGTGTGTGTGTGTGTGTGTGTGTGTGTGTGTAATTCTAACAAACAGGGTGATTTCTGGTGTTTGAATGACATCAGTTGTAAAGTTCACACAGGTGCGCTAGCCGAGTAACCGCAGGTGGACAGAATCACATTAACTATCAATATGTTTCACGTTTGACATCCACAAAGTGTGCATATTCCTTTTGTCGCCGTTTTTTTATCAGTCCTTTACTTTTTGGAGCCACTTTATATACACTACAGTTCAAAAGTTTGGGGTCATGATAAAAAAAAAAAAAAAAAAACTTTTATTCAGCGAGGATGCATAAAATCTGATTACAATTGACAGTAAAAATTTACGGTTTCCACACAAACATGAAACGGCACATCTTTTAGTGTTTTCAAGATTGATATTAATAATAATTAGTAGCCCAATGTTTCTTGATCATCAAATCAGAGTGATTTCTGAAGGATCATGTGACACTGAAGACTGGAGTATGATGCTGAAAAAATTCAGCTTTGATCACAGGAATAAATTACATTTTAATATCACTTAGATCACAGAAAACACTTCTTTTAAATCGTAATATTACTTCACAATATTACTGTTTATACTGTATTTTTGATCAAACAAATCCAGCCTTGGTGAGTATAAGAGACTTCTTGCAAAAACATTAAAAAGACCCCAAACTTTTGAATGGTAGTGTATAATAGTAATCAGATTATAGTCAGATACTAAATGCTTTTCATAATCTTACTAATTATAAACATAAAGTTAAACTTGAAACTCGTATCATGTTTACGGGACCCCCGTAAAGTAAATCTCAACAGAACATGATCATTAATTATTAATTCATGCCAATGACTGAGACATTTAACCCAACACACTGATATCTCCAACTAATAAATAATTAAATAAATTGATCACGTTCACTGAACAGATTTACCATTATGTCATATTGTAGGCTAATAAGCCACTGTCTGGCACATTTGTTACAATCACTATCTTACATGTATAACTAGTTGTGACTCAGCGGATGGTAGTGTAAACAAACATAAATGCTCTGTGCACTTGATATTGCTTGGCGTCAGATATTGCTGGAAGCGCTAGAGTCCTGTAGCGCGCGCTCGGCTCGAGTTGCGCGCGCCACAGCGGGCCGAGCGTTTGCGGGGGGAAACAACACGATGAGGTCATGGCCGGCGGCGCGGGGGTAAAGTTTCAGGGATCCGACACCGCTCATGCTCTTTTGTTCATGTGTAACCGGGCCCCACGGAGCCGCTCGTCAAGCCCGCAGAACGCTCTGTTGTAGAAGTGCCGGGCCTTTTTGTCTTTCCCTCCATTTATGTCGTTCGTGAGACCCGATATAGTTCCGTCATAGTTTATGTTACAGATGATTTTGGGGAATGCGACTGAGCTAGTGTGCCTAATCACATTGCGTTCAGTAACTAAACCACAGTTTGTGTAAACTACCTAGTAAATTCCTCTAGAGCGGGTTTTGAAGACATCAGTGGTTTTGACATGTACATACAACTTCCCCTAAAGCTTTAGTGCATCTTAATGCCTTAGACATTCTCTCACACTCACAGTCATGTAATAACCATATAACATAATTGCTGCATGCACTTAAAGCACTAAACCAGCGTCATATGTATTGGTTACTTGCGTTTATTGAATTTTAACTGCTGGTTAACAAATACAACCTTTGATTTTAATAATGTAAATGTTGAAATTAGTTAACTTTTAATAAATGCTGAAGTAGAAGTATTGTTCATTCTTAGTTCATGTTAACTAATGTAGTTAACTAATGTTAACTAAAAAACCTTATTGTAAAGTGTTACCAAAATGATGATCAAGTTACCGTATAACAACATATGTTTTGCATTGCTTTAACCCGTCAAAATAAGTTCAGCAACTCAAACTTTTCGTTTTTTAAGTCAGTTTAATGCAATTTAAGTTGAAATGACTTAAACAATCCAAGTTGGTTGTACTTAAATTTTGAGTTTTGTTTAATATGACTAAATCAACCTGACTATGTAAGGTCATACCAACAAAAATCACTGTCAGGTATAACTATCTCCTAGGGTAACAACTGCATGTTTGCAAAAAAAAATTTTTTACAGTGTACCATTGTGATTTTTTTTGCAATTGAAAACAACTTTTTTTCCAAGTTCATTGAAATGGATTTACCTGTGGGGCAACATAAATGGACAGGGTTATGTGTTAGCCGACAGGAGTGATGGGAAGATGTTCGTTGTGAGGTGTTTTGTGCATCCCTCCCCCGTGAGGGGCAGAGGGACAGGAGAGTCGAGCTGACAATAGCGAGATTGTTTTTCAGGGAGCTGCAGTAAAGATCACATTTCCTGTTACTGGCTGAAAGCGGGGTCAGCTGACACCAGCCTCCTTCACCGCTGCGGCTGTCATCACCGCTCAACGAGGGGGAAAAAAGACACTAACAGCTTCAAGGCGCAAGTTAACTCTTAACATGTACAGATATCACTCACACGGCCAGGGTCCAGGCGAAAGCAGTGTTATAGTGGAGCTGACATTGAAGTGATGTGATGCATCGAGAAGCAAGGTTGCTTTCGTACCTGTAAATCTGAGCCCTTTGTGATTCATCCAGGATGTCACTGCGCCGGCTTCTGAAACATCTTTGATTTTGAGTGTGATTTTTCAGTTCTTCTAAGTGAGGTTACTCTTACCGTGGACTATCTACTCACCAATATCAAAGATTCGAAGGTTGTTGTGTTGTTTCCCAATTGCTGGTGTAGACGACATAGTGTCGGCCCAGATCCGGGCCACATGTGGATTCCAGCAGTACCAGATCTGGGCCGTCACATGTTCTGTCTGGGTAGTTTCTGCTTAATTCCATCCATATGTAGATAAGTGGAGATTTTGCAAACTAGTAGACTATACAGTTACTCAATGCTTACGTGTTGATTAGTCATGGATTACATAATTGCATTTTTACTAGTTCTGTATGACAACAGCTAGAAGTTTTTTGGTTCGTAAATTCACGAACAGTTTCATGTTTTGAGCCACCATGACTAGTTTGGGACCATGTGATGTAACTGTGTTTGCTCTATATTGGGAGGGAAATTGAGTTTCCTGTTTAGTAGGGTTTGTGCTGACTAGTTCACAATCTGATTAGTTTCACCACTATTTGGTGTTGTAGACCTGTATTGACTAGTCATGCACCACATGATGTTTTGAGCCAGCGTTGACTATCTGTAAATCTCCTGTTGCATTTGTTCTATATGGCGGCAGCTGGAAGAAATTTCAGTTTTTGATTAGTAAACTGTTGCACCGACTAGTTAAGTAATTGAATTGTAGTTATATCACCATTTAATGCTTTAGACCTGTATTGACTAGTCATGCACCACATGACTTCTTTTGTCCTTGTTCTATATGGCGACAGCTGATAGAAAATGCATTTTTGTTTGTTTGTAAATTGTTGCACTGACTTATTAACCAATCTATTAGTTCTGCAACTATTAGCTGTTTTGGGCCTGTGTTGATTAGCTGTAGTTCACTTGACTCAAGTTGCGTTTATTCTATATGGTGGCAGCTGGAAGAAATTCAAGTTTTTGGTTAGTAAATTGTTGCACGAACAGTTTCATGTTTTGAGCCAGCGTTGACTAGTTTGGGACCATGTGGCGTAACTGTGTTTGCTCTATATTGGGAGGAAAATTGAGATTCCTGTTTAGTAGGGTTGCGCTGACTAGTTCACACTCTGATTAGTTCTACCACTATTTGATGTTGTAGACCTAGTCATGCGCCACATGACGTCTTTGTTCTATATGGCGATAGAAAATGCATTTTTGTTTGTTTGTAAATTGTTGCACTGACTAATTAACTAATCTGTTAGTTCTGCAACTATTGGGCCTTTTTCGACTAGCAGTGGATCACTTGACAACTGTTGCATTTGTTCTTGATGACAGCAACTGGAAGACATTTAAGTTTTTTTGGTTATAGCAAATAGTTGCACTGGCTAGTTAACTAATCAGTCAGTTTGAGGTTTGAGCTTGTGTTGACTAGTTGTGCACCATGTGACCTTAACTGCACAGCAAATGTATTGCTTAGTAAAGGATTGCTCCTCCAACTTGTCAATTAGTTGTACCACTATTTGAGGTTTGAGCTTGTGTTGACTACTTGTGCACCACAGCAGGAGGATTGCTCCTCCAACTTGTCAATTAGTTGTACCACTATTGATTGCTATGTGACCAGTTAAAGATAACAAGAGAATCTGAAAATAAAAGTGAAACTGAGACACAGAATGGGACGTGTTCTTCTACTGGCCGTCAGACCATCAGGGAACTAGTCGATAACTTTTCTGGTGCACTTAGTCGTCATACAAGCCCTACTGGTTATTATCTACAATATAAGAACTGTGTTGGCTGAAGCCGGCGTTCAGGAGTCGCTGGGAATGAACTAATCCTGTTTTCCCAGAGCAGCCCACACCGGCCTGCTGTTTTTAGAAGCAAGTTCAACCGAGGTCTGCGAGGATCAGAACGTTGTGTTTGACCCCCTGAATGTTTGGAGACAAGGAAGTGTTCGGACACAAAGGTGCTCATTTGTTAGAGCGCACAGCACAAAAAGAGCTCAGTGAGCCAGTGTGAGTCGGTTTTTGTGTGTGT